AAAAAAAAAAAAGCGCTTACGATTCCCCACGAGAACCGCCAAACGGCCGCTTAAATTGAGGATTCATATACATCTCATCCCGTATTCGCTTCATCTCATCTCTCTGCACAACACCAACTCCAAAGTTAACATCAAGGAGATAACAGTGAAGAGTGGTGAAGAAGATCAAAAGAAGCTAACTGAAAATCAGATCTGTTTCAAATATCCAATCCTGGCCCGACAACGAACAGTACAAATCGTTTCGATCAAACTGCAACTTGAAAATTTTATATATTATTATCTCCTTGATCCCTTTTCACTAATTGGCTTCACTCTTGTGCAGCAACAGGAATTTGAGTTGAGAATAATAATATTAGAGAGATTTTCGTGAACTTTTTTGCGAAACGGAAATCCCACTCCTATTACGCACGCAACTCTCCAGCTTTTATAGTCTGCAAAAAATTCGAAAAATGAGCCTCGTTTGGGCTCAAAATGGTGGGCCTTTTATGCCTATTAGAGAAAAGTTTAGAGAAAATTATAGGGAAATTTACATATATAGACACCCTATAATAAATATTTACATATATACGTTCAATATAAACTTTTATCAGATTGAGATTCTGATGTAATTTTTTTTCATATCTACGATGTGAGTGCTCATAATTTTATCTCTCTCTATATTAAACATGCATTAATTTAGGGATATGAGATTTCCCACCTGCCCATAATTTTCTCTCTCTCCATATTAAACATGCATTAATTTTGGGATATGAGATTTCTCACCTACTCATAATTTTCTCTCTCTCCATATTAAACATGCATTAATTTAGGGCTAAATAATCGCAGGCAAAAAAGAAAAATCGCAAAAAAAATAAAAAATCTGATTTCAAAAGTTCAAACGGTTAATCGACATCTTGAATTCGAAAAAAAAAAAAAAATCATCCAACCGCCAAATATATGTTTAGATATACTGTATATATACAATATATAAACATGATCAGACAGTACTCTAATATTAACCATATAGTTATACATAAAATAAACAACATATAAACAATTCTGAAACGAGATAAAACATAATACAAAATTCCGAATGATTTTAAAATCCAAATCAAATGTAATTATACATAAGATAAACAATATAACCACCAAATATAAGTTTAGATATAGTGTATATATACATCAAATAAACATGGTCTGGCGGTTCTCTAATATTAACCGTGTAGTTATACATAAGATAAACAACATATAAACAAACAATTATGAAACAGGATAAAACATAATACACAATTTTGAATGACTGCAAAAATCCAAATAAAATTTAGTTATACATAAGATAAACAACATATAAACAACTCTGAAACGGGATAAACATAATACATCTTGACATTAAAAAAATTGAGATCCTAAAAATATATGACATCTAAAAAACATCAGCTTAAAAAATACATAAACGTCCACTGGTACTACTGATGGCCGAGTTTCCTCCAACCGCACCACTTTCACACTGTTGCTGGGTCGAGCAACCGCGCACTCATGTTAGGCAAGCATCAACCTTCGAGAGCCTCCGTCAGTGCGGGACTCGGGCGTTGCGCTGCCGCTCGTAGCCCGACCAAACTGGATCTCCATATATCCAAAATTGAAAGGTAATTTCTAAAAAAGAAGAGATGAGGGTGAGAGAGAGAGAGAGGGGTAACTTCGGTTGTCGTGAGAGTCAGTTTCTTGGAACCTTTCGGATCTCGAATTTTCTAAAATTGAAGCTTCTTTTGGATGACCTTATGCTCGAGTGCTTGAAATTGAGACGTTCGACGAGATCGGTAGCGTATTAATCTTGTTTCGTCTTTAGTGTTGACGGATTTGGCCTCATTTTTCTTTTTCTTGGCCATTGAAAATTTATGGAGTCTGTATTGGTTTTCTTTTGTTTTTAGGGAAGATAAGTTCTTGCAATTTTTCTTGTGAAGATGTTACACGACAACCGAGATTGTGAGAGAGAAAAGCAATATTTTGTTATTGATTTAGTGTTACGTGTGCAATGAAAGAGAATATCTTTTCTCCCGATTATCATGCAATGAGATAACCACCCTCCTTATTTATAATTTTCTTTAATTAAATACATAGTTCGTAATTGTGATGAAAAGATGAATATATCGTATTTTTAATATTATTTAGTAAATCAGGAGTAAGAGGCGTAATTTTCTCAAAAAGACAAGAGTAATGAAGTGGGCCAATTTGTTGTGATAGTTTATTTTTGCCCAAATCTGAAACATATATCTGTAGAGACGTCTGAAAAAAGGAGAAATCAGATGCCCTAACACTGCGGAACACATCAATTGTGCAGACAAGTAAACACATCAAGAGCTGCAAATTAGTGCATGGATGGACGTATTCAATAATAAAAGAAGAAAAAGTAAGGGAAAATGAAGCACCAGATTTTCCTACGTATGACTACACCATTTTTAATGTTATTTTACCTTATTTTTTCTGAACATAGAGAGAATATTTAATAACTAAAAATATTATAAGCAATTAATAAGACTTGTAAGTTTTTGTTCAAGGTTTACTGCTGCTTGAATTTAAGGTCTTCATTGCAACTGTGTTGGGGTAGTTCAGTTTTTACAATTCAAATTATACTTTGGTAGATGAATATAAATAATTATATCTATTTTTCTAAAACGAGTGACGTACCTTGAAGCCCACAAAATTTCCTACACAACAATGACAAAAACAAATAAATAAATAAAAAATCAGAATTTGGGACAACAAATCTTTAAAGAGATTTAAACATAAAGAATCCCAACTTAGAAATGTTATTCAACAAGAATCCAAAACACCAAACTTAATCAATAAGGTAATCACTCTCTCTCTCTCTCTCATTAATATTATATTATTATTGTATTGGAAGAAATGTTTAAAAACTAAAAAGTCAAACACTGTACAACTATCTTTGTCACACTTCTATCCCACCGTTGTTTACATCATTCAAGTTCTGGTTCGAATCAAGAAGATTTTCAAGTCATCGGTTTTCCCTATTACGAACTTTCCTTGCCTCCTTCATCACCAAAGTCAATCTCCTCTTCTTGTCGCCGACAACTTGATTTGTTGTTCCAAAATGAAAAAGACAAACAATGAATAGAAGTCCCACAAAAAGATGGTGTCTAGTAAAATAAACCAAACCTTACAGAATCATTTCATTAGATTAATTTTCTATGGTTTAATAGTTTTCTTTGTCTACAGGGAGATTGTAATATTTTCATAATGGTATAAAGACATCCACTCGACATTTTCATTGCTTGAAAAATATACACAAGCATATATAACTTATAAAATAAAAATAATTTTCTTTTCCGACAGTTATGAATGGCATCATAGGCATTTTCTTAAGGGGTTCAAACCTTTTTCTCAAGTATCTCCTCTTTATGTTGCCAAAATGAAGCCTTGCTTACAGTCATGTAGTTCATAATAGAAGTTAACTTTTTATATGGAAACAAATAATTTGCCTAAAAAAATCAACCACACACTATCCCTAACAATTCTCATAATAGGTTTTAGCTAAACAAATAATTTGCCTAAAAAATCAACCACACACTATCCCTAACAAATCTACCGAAAAGTAATCAATGAACTCCTATTTTCAAAAAAAGAATAAAAAAATCCATTCCTCAAGGTTAGCAAAATTTTTTCAAACTTCGATTTGAAAACAAAAACTTCCAGGCTAGTAATTCCCTGAAATAAACAAACTACATGAGAAAAAACATATTATTAATCCTCACTTTCGAACTTCATCATAGGTTCCTGCAAGATTACTATAAACCCGGAGCATATTCGGATGGCAAGGTCCACATTCCCTCTGCAAAATCACCATTGCCTCCTCAACAAATCAAAGTCCTCATTTTTTTATTTTTATGAAATGCACCCCAAGGTGGGGTGGGGGTGTTTAGGCTGTACAAGAGTCGAAGAATGGACAATTTGGATCCAAACGCAAGTCCACATGAAGAGACGACCTGGCCATGGGGGAGGG